GCTGCTTGCGGGTACAAGGGGCTTGCCATTCCAAGATGGACTTAACTTTCCCTGGGTCCATCTCCACCCCTTCATACAACACTCCATAACCTAGGTAATTCAGTCTGGTCTTGTGAAACTCGCATTTTGACAGTTCGGCATATAGCTTAGCATCCAACAGTTTTTTCATTACTTGTCACACAAGTTTCACATGCTCGTCCATAGTCTCAGTGTAGATGAGGATGTCATCCAGGTATACCAAGACCCCTTTATATAAATGTTCATGTAGCATCTCGTTTATGAGTTGCATAAATATGGCAGGGGGCCCCTGCAGTCCAAAAGGTATTATTTTAAATTGGTAGTTCCCAAGGAGACAACTGAAGGCAGTTTTCCACTCGTCGCCTTCCTTGATCCTCATTCGATTGTATGCCTCCCTCAGATCTAGTTTCATAAATGCTTTCCCCCTGGCTAAATATCCCAACGTGCCATTCATGAGGGGGAGGGGATACAGGTTTTCCCACACTCCATTGATCCCATGAAAATCAATGCACAATCTCAGTGACTCAGTGATTTCATTCTTTGATAATGTGACTAAATTAGTAGACCAGTGAAATGCTGTGAACATAGTATACTTAGATTTCAATAAGGCATTCAACAAAGTAGACTACAATCTACTTGGTAAGCTAGAAAAAGGTGGGATAGACAACATTACCACCAGATGGAATTGTAGCTGGCTGACAAACCATACTCAACAAGTAGTCCTCAATGGCACTACATCCACGTGGAGAAAAGTAAGCAGTGGGGAGCTTCCGGTGGCGAGGCGTCGCCGAAGGAGGCTTTTTCTTCAGCCTCCAGCCTGGGACTGCGTCAAAGACGTCAAAACAGCGTGGATCAGCTGTTTTGCGGCTCGGAACTTTCTCCCTGGGCGAAGAGGAGAAAGTGAGTTTGGTCTGGATAGGGGTTGAGTTCCCTAGTCCCCCCAGGAGCGATCCTGGGGGGATGAAGGTGAGAACTCCCCCGGAGTCCGGACCTCTTCTCCGCAGCTCGGTGTGTCTTCGCTCTTCGGAGCGAAGCTAGACGTCGCTGCCACTGCTGCTACATTGTGTCTGCTTGTGAGTAACTTTTGGAACAGACGGAACCTGACAGGGGATTTTTATTTTAGTTAAAATGTGACTTTAACTCGAAGATTTAATTGGGATTTTTGTTACTTGCTATAAGTGAAAGTGACAAGAAAATGGCTGCAGAAGCATTCCTTCTTTTTAACAAAAGGGAAACCTTCACTTTCTTTCCGGTTGTGGAATGATGTATTTTAAAGGATTTTAAAAGAATTTTTTTTTTAAGTCAAGCTTTTTTAAGTTTATACTTGCTGTTGTGATTTTTAAAAATAACTTGGCAGAATGGCTACAAAACGTACTGGAGTTTCTGCATTGCCTAAAACAGCTATCTCTTCTCCTGTTGTGCAAACTCAACAACAAAAACCTAGATCTCCCCCTCCAACACCTCCTCCTTCCATTACACTTAAAGATTTACAAGAGGCCTTAGCCAAGTCTTCATTGCAGACTGTGAAACAAACAGAAGAACTTTTGGATAAGAAAAACCAGGAACTTTGTGAAAATTTATCACATATTTTTCAAGGACTTGCAGCTCATATTGATCGTGTGGAGGGAAGAGTGGATGAGTTAGTGGAGAAAATGGAAGGAACAGAGGATA